TTATATATAGATCAGTCTATAGAACTCATTAAAAATCAGTGATGCTGTCTACACTGGATCCGGCGTGACACGACAAATCCCCGACAGTAAACTGCTGCCACGTTCTATTTATGACGTCGTGCTGACACAAATTTCAAATGATTTTCAACGGTCGCTTTGTCGCGTCCAGTGTAGGCGGCATGGTGCGACACGACAACTGTCATGTCCGGTGTAGACACCGTGTAGCGGTTGCCTGTTACATCCTACAGTACATAACATTTCACTTACCACATAAACAGAGCAAGGAGAGATGACTGAGGACGATGGCAAATGATTTGCAGATCCTCAGTACCACTGACAATCATATAATCTTGTCAAATGTGTGGCAAGTACTGCCGCTCCATAGTATAAACAGAGTACATACGATCGGGAATCTCAAAAGTGAAAGTGAAACTAAAAGCGATCGTGCATTCAAAAGCATGATGCCAGTTTCAATGCCACGTATAATAGTGGCTCCCTGATGCTGAAATATATATGTAGTATAATTACCCAATTATATAACTGTGAGGAAAATATTCATCGTCTATCGGCCCAACCGTATTGTATATCTTTATTTTTGACTCCACTTTTTTGAGTCCTCATTCTTCTCAGTATTGCCTCTAAGCAAAAGCAGATACTAACAAATACTAGACTAACTTTCAAGACAACTTATACATGCAACCAAAACATGTCATACAAAAAAATGTGACAAAATACATATGAACACATATAAACTATACATATACAATTCTGTAGAGTTTTATTCTGAAAAGAGTGACCACTAAAATTCATGGGCCTGAGACAACATCTTAATTGTTGGGCCCCCTCTTTTTTAGGCCCAACAAGTACACTACATCTTACATGATGACAGGGCCCAGGACAACACTACAGGTTGCCCCACACAAAAGGCTTTAGCATACTTTCTTTTTTTTCTTTATTTCTTTTCTTGCAGCTCCTTCATTCTTTGCTTTCCATTTCCTCCACTTCTCCTACTCTGATAAGACACCGGGAAACAAGTTGTCACACTGCAATCCTCTCTCTCTCTCTCTCTCTCTCTCACACACACACACACACTCATATACACAAAAACTTTGGACACTCTCTGAACTAATAAACAACAAACATACATACAGTGCATGCAAGTAGACAAATATGAGCCTCTAGACAAACCTATACAGTAGACAGACACACACATACAAGACCAAAATTAGAGAGAAACAGAGAGATAATGCAGTAAAGAGGGCGAGAGAAGGAGGACAATAGCAAAGTGTGTCCTGGGAAAAGTAAGTCAGGTGTCACAAACACAGCTACTTCCTTTTTCCACATGATGTCAATTTCCTCCAAAGTGAGATTCCACGAACAGGCCTTTCATGAACAGCCAGTATTTTAGCCTTGATGCATTTGAAAAACAAAATATGTGTACTTTTTTTCTTTGAAAATTCAATCGCTTCTTTCTAATGAAACCAATTGTGGTCTGGTCTTCCATTTTACTACTAAAAGGAAGGTTGTGAAATTCACCTGATTGAACTGAATTAATGTCAGACAGACCCTAACAGTTACAGACAAGAAACTTTTGCATACAATGTAATTAATTTAGCAAAGTTTATTATCTTTTTCTTATAATCGTCCTGTATGAAAACAACAGGTGATGCGAGAGTACTGAGCTATTCATAAAAGTGCTAAAATGTGTATCGGACTTTAACTTGGTTAGTTTTACCATCTTGCATTTTGGTCAATTTTACCGGACAGCCGCACCCACTTCCTCCCATCGCGCCAGAGGAGAGCAGCCAGGAAGTGACCTTGTACAGAACAGGAAGTGATGAAGCCTATGGCCTAATCTAGTCCTAGATACATTCCATTCTAGGACAAACTCACTGCTATTTGATTTAATTAACCAAACCACATAATGATTTTAAATGACAGTTTCACTGGTTACGAGGAGTTCAACAGAGTTCAACAGCAAGAGCACTCAAGATTCACATCATCAATCCAGTCTTTCCTTTGCTATTTCTCTTTAGATTGCCAAACTGGAGAGGGAGGCACTTGATATATAGTAGTCAACATTTGAAGTGGTTCAAAACCTTTCATCAAAGTTGCCCTAAAACCAAAATGTGTTCTTGTCTTAGGACAACTTTGCTGAACTTTTTTTATCCACTCACGACTACTGTAGTCCTCAGCATACACCAAAATTAAGAAATGAACCAAAGAATCAAAATGACAAAAACAGTATAACAAACTCCCCATGAGAAAAGACCAATACAAGACAATTAGACAGAAAAGCAGCCAATATGCATAGATAAACAGCACATACATCTAGACATAACGTCAGAGACTGAAGCTCTGAAACCACAGCAGCAAACTTCTCATTTTTATGTTTTCATTATCTTGCTCTCCATCTTATTTGAGTTCATTCACACAGCTTTAGGCAGATACAAATTGGTTGCTTAATGCAGACAGCAAAAGCTGAGTAAAGAACGCAATGCATTGCAAAGAAACTTCAGTGCACCTGCTGCCGAATCCTTTGCTCTTCCAACTCATTTAAAGGTTTCAGATCATCTCAGCGCTCACTTTCACCTCTCACAATATGTCTCGACCTTCTTTACCTCTCGGTTGTGTAGACAGAGTAGTCAGCAGACTCCCTAGGGGGAACTAACAGCTTCCACCATCTAAACCAATTTAACCATTCACTGCACTTGAAAATTATTTAGTTAATCTCTGCTGCTAATATATATATATATATATATATATATATATATATATATAGGCCTATATAAACACACACACACACACACACACACACACCAATTAAACAACTGAAAACTAAAACGCATCACTAAACAAAACATTTATTCCCGTTAACACCCGCATCTGTGAGCAAAGGATGTCACTAAACAAGTTAATTTCTCACAGACCATCATATAAAAACCTGCCACTGACATTTGGCACTTAAGTAAAAATACTTTTTATTTCACATCAATTTCGTATTAACAAAAGTAACTGTTAGTAAGTAAAATGCGTAAGCAAGAGTAAATAATTCCTACCTTTATGAATTTCTATCAGTGACAGAGGTGGATCAGGCAGGACAGTGTGAATTGATATGAACGGTAGACAGACACAAGTGTCCGTGCGGCGTTCAGCCGGCCGCAGATGCGCTCGCTCGAGTCGCGCGGTGTCCGGAAGGGCTGAATTCCGCGCGCACTCTGCGCCAGGCGAAGCGCGAGCCGACTCCACCTCCTCTCTGCACAGTTCTACATATTCAAGTTATTTCCGGGAAATTATATTTGTTTGCTAAATGCTTCACACAGTACTGAGTATAGTACTGAATAGTAGTTGCCATTTTCTTAGAAGAAAAAAACCGCGTTGGTAATTGACTGCAGCAAACATATTAATGCGATAAAATATTCAGACATCGTAGGTGTATTGTAAACACTACTATCAGCAAAGAGTATAGAAGACCAAGTTCTTTGCTATCAGGTACCCGCGCTGGTTTGGAAGCCACTTACTACCGGAAAACGTTTCTTGGTCGTTACTGACCCCTGGTGGCTGTTTGGTGATAGTGCAGTTCTGCATGGCTCCAGCGAATGGAGATATTCAGGGTGTTACGCTGAAAAAAACAAAATTTGCGTTTATTGCCTTAACACGACTAGAGTTCAAAATATTACATTAAACTCAAAATATGCTCAGTGAACGGAGGTGCTTAATTTTAAGACACTTGTGTTGTCATTTAAGCGGTTGTTTTCTATTAATTTTCTTTTTTTTGCAAATTCAACTTGTCAAATGTTTAAATAGTGTAAAAGATTTTATTTGTGTGCAGTTTTACAACATTAGATAAAGACTATGTATACAATTAAAAAAATCAAATAATGTTATTATAAGCAATTTTGATGGTAATTTTATATTAGATAACATTTTATCAAGCATATTTGGGGGCTCACAAAAACATGCCTTTATTGCTTAAAAAAAATCATGGGACATGTGGCAAAAGTGCATTTGTGGAATTTGCCTTGTGGACATTACATACAAGCAAATAAAACAGTAATGTCATAGTAAAATATTTTATTATACATAAAAATGCACAAATAACAAAAAACAACAAAATGTGCTTTTTCATCCATTTTAGCCCACATTAAATCAGCTCTCAATCTGAGAGAGAAATAGGCAATGTAGAGTTCTTAGTGTCAATATAAACATTGTCAATATCTTAGTGAATATAAACATTCATCAAAATGCACAAACACACAGACCAGAATACTGCAGCAGGGCAAAGTCACATTCACAGTATGATAACAAAAAGACCACAATGAGCAAATTTACTCATAGGACGTGCAAGATTCGCTGTATCCCAAATCCAATCATGATCCAGTAGCAGCTGATCAACCAGCCCACATAAGCCTAAAATATTGCAAAGAAAAGAGAAAATGAAACTAAATTGCTCTTGAGACTTTGCACTTTTAGAGTGTGATTGTGTGCAATTTGTGTCTCAACACACGCTACAATCAGAGTATAATAGTGTATACAGGTCATCCTGTTTTAAAGCTCTTGTGCGCATATTAGGTCATGTAGCGTGTAATTGCTCTGAGAGCATAAAGTAAAGCTGCCTGCAGTCGCGCCTCCATCAGTAACAGGTTCACATGGACCTGCATAAAAAGAACAACACGTCTTAAACCAGAAATATACAGGCATTTTACTACCCCTAAGTGATAAATCCACTTGTGAAGTTCAGCAAAAAAAGATAGGCTTCATCATAACAGTGCTATCATTGTTATGAAACCTCTACTGAAACTTAATTTTAAATTTTTTACTGTAACATTATCAACAAAGCAAGTTACCAGGCACAAGCCATACTTGGCCATATGATGAAACATTTAAAGGGGTCATATGATGCGATTTCATTTTTTCCTTTCTCTTTAGAGTGTTACAAGCTCTTGGTGCATAAAGAAGATCTGTAAAGTTGCAAAGACTAAAGTCTCAAATCCAAAGAGATATTCTTATGTTCTTTTTAGCAGCATCATATGACCCCTTTAAAAGGAGTTTTTGGTCTGGCATAACTTGTCAAAAAAAGTTTAACTCTGAAGAGAACCACTAGAGGCCACTAAAACATTACTCCAAAATGCAAATTAATTCAACAATTCAGAAAAGGAGAGAGCAAGCATAATTCAATACCACTGCTGAAGCAAATGCAACTTATTAAAATATGAACACACTTGAATCATCAACAAGAAATCTCACACATCTTGTACCTTTTCCGAGTGGCGGAACTGCCTCCAAAAAGAGAAGTACATTCTTGTTGTGGTTTTCTCCGGGTGACAAGCCACTGTCTTAACGTACACTTTTAAACTGCGTTCCAACAGCTGGTTGACATCCCCATAATTATAATCATCATACCTGTGTAGGCGAACATTGACATGCAAGTGCACATTAGATTCGCATTAGAGCAATTTTAGAAATGTAACCACCAAAAGTAATGCATTTTATGTCTACCTTTTCCCTCATAATGTGCAGTCTTTATATATGATTATGGCGAGGACTGTTTTTCCTTCTTATATAAGCATAACCCTAACCTAACCTTTGTTCCATATGGTTGAACGTTCTAAGCTCGTTTCATGACTATGATGCATGCATGACTGACCTGATGCCGTAGATGCAGTGAATGTAGTTCCAGATGGCTTTGCGGAGTGTGGAGGTGTCCACATGTGAGTGCATGGCCATGGTGTGATACGTGAGCGCACACACCACCTGAAATTTCTCATCCAGAAGCTGTGCCATCTCTCCATACAGCCTGTTCATAAGAGAGAAACCGTGATCTTCCCACGAATAGTCCTGAAAGCACAAAATCATATGTAGAGATCATGATATAACCAGTGCTGTTATTGTTATACCATCAGCAGGTTCCAGCAAACTCTCAGTCCTTTCTCTTTCAAAGCGAGTAACCATCTCTTCTTGTGTAAACTCTTCACCTTGCTGCTGAACCATCATCATCTTCTCCATCAAAAGCTTAACCTCGTTCACAGCCTCAGACCACTGCGCACAGACACACACATATAACACATTAAAGAGATTTACCTGGGCAAAACAAACTAAATATTCTCTTTTACTTGTGATCAATACATCAGTCACAATTCGATACCTTTTGCTGATTTCTGCTCTTGTCTCGGGCAGAACAGGACTCTGTGGGTGAACCCGACTGATCTCCTGACTGCTCGGGCTCTGGGAGAATACCACAACCCCAAACAAATGAGGCTAGAGAGTGGGCATGGCTCATCAAAACAATAGCCTGAATCAGTTCTGCCAGGGACCACCGAGCCTCTGCACCTGGACAAACTAACTCCTGTGAATATGTAAGATTTGTTTTTTGTTTTTTTAAAAGAAGTTTTTAAAAGCTTTTTAATTCATAAATGAGTAGTAATACAATACAAGTGTTGACTGCACAATATAAAACAATTTTTTTCAATAATGAGTTGTATTTATCTTTCTGTTATAAACTTGAATGAATCTATAGTGCTTAAGTTTCATTTTTGTGTTTGTGTTATAGTATTCAGAGTTTTAGAAAGATGGTGTGAAAACTCAATATTGAAAAAAATCTAAACGGATTTGTTAATGGATATCTGTAAAATGCGCTGCAGAACAATCACTCAGAGCATTAACTTATAAAGCATAAAACTGAGATAAACTCACAACAGGGAAGATGGCACAAGCAGACAACAAAGGACAACTCAAATAAAACAACAGCAATAACAGTAGACATAGACAAATGAATTGTACAAATCACTGAATTTTTCTTTATTTTTTTGTACGTGCAGCTTTACTACATTTACTTTAGTGAATCGATTCAAAGATCAAATAAATGATTCAAATCAATAATTCACAGATGTATTCTAACTCGTATCTTAATTTTTGAAACAAAACAGTTAAATGCTGCAGGTGTCTATGCTCATACTTGTATAAATTAGTATTTTCTAGATGTACTAGTTGGTGATTGCAGCTATCTAGTATTTAATGTTAAAAAGTAAAAAAATAAATAATTCAGTTTAAGGATGTCACCCTAATACAGATGTTTATGTTATAGATAAATGCTCTAATTGTAGAATTTATTTTCTGATATTAAATTTATAAAGATACTGTATGTCCAATGTAGCTAGCTTCTTTTTGTTAGCAACTTGTAGTGGAGCTATATACCTTTTTAAAAGGATGATCACTGATGATAACTGTTCATAACACTGATGATCTGTGTTTTTTACCTGTATATGTTCCTGGGTGATGATCCAGGGTCTGTGTGCAAGCAGTTTGTTGAGCGTCTGCAGGTGCTGTATTTTGGGTGGTGCACAGTGAAGTCCTCTAAGCCAGGACTCATCTCCGCCAGCAAGCAGAAAAGCAGAGCTGTGATGCTGCACTAGGTACGAGCACTGGTGACGTGCAGACGCCTGCACAGACACAGAAAATTACTGTTGTGTATATTATAAACATATACTTATTTGTGTATATTTAAAACTTGCAATCTAAATGTCCCAAACGGAAATATATGTCTCTTCCCTTACCAATATGATAATAAAATGTCTCCATGACAGAGGCAGAGGACCATCCAGCTGGAGCAAAGCATTCTGTGTTCGCAGGAAGCAGGTCAGGTAGGTGGGATGTAGCCCCATCATCATGTTGATATGGTCTACACGTCCTTCTGACAACAGAGCCTCTGACATCACCTCCTGTGCTGCCCCTTCTTCTAGAATCTGAAACAAACATATGCAGAGAACTCATTTTTGTTCTGTAAACACTGACAACAATACTAGATCTATCATCTAAAGATGCACTTTTACTGCTGCTCAGCACAAATTTATGGGCAAATTCAGTCATTTCAATAGGAATCTGCACGTTCGGGCATTTCAAATGAGGGCGAAAAAGTTCCCCGCACAGATTTCGCTCATGTTTAAGATGCTCATGTGAATTTGTCATGCTGACTAACAGTAAGCTGCTTGATTTGAAAGTGACTTCTGTGTGAGCAGTGTTTCAAACATCACTACATTATTGACTATTGCCAGTGAAATTTTGCATAAAATGTGGCTGCACCTTAAAGCAGGGATTCCCAAATTTTTCTGTCAGCCAAGTTTTGACCTAAAATATTTACTTTAAGTACCTCCTTAAGTACTTTAAATAATTTAACAACACATTTGCACATTCACAGTAGTCTTATGTCAGTTAACAGTCACATGACATGCAGGAAAACAAATACAATATTTATTTTTTTATTTCAAACGTTTTTATTTATCACAGTTTTAGTATATCATTAATTATTAGCTTTTCATCAACCTACAACGCCCCTGCATTCATTGAATGTGAAGACAAATACCACAAACATGCATCAAAACAACACACACACACCTCTTCAATTTGGATAAAGGCACTGGGCCCAGAGGGCAACGCCTGGGGCAGGTCAACTCCTGCTTCCTCCTGAGAAAAAGAAAGGGTGACAATAGACAGCAATAAAGATATAGAAAATATAAAGCCCTCTGTTGTTCAGTTAAACAGTTTGGATATGAACCCTATCAGATTGAAAAATATGAACCCTATCAGATTGATATTATAGGTGCATTATCATATAGCTGGCACCAAGCTATCATATATTTCATACGTTTTATTTTAAGCTATACTTCTCGCCTCTAACTATTCACCCCAAATTCTGTTAGCAACTCATTTATCGGTTGTCGTTGTCCGACGGTTGACCGAAGGAAACGGCTCTTGGTTCAGTGAGTCGGTGAGTTGTTAACGCGAAACGGTCTGGAGTTTGGACCGATTCAGTCCGATTCGTAAATTAAAAATTAATCAAGTTTGGTGAACGGGTTTAACAGATTCCCACAATAGAACAATTGAGAACCTAAATGAACATCCCTGGCTCAAATGGACCTTTATCAAGACTTTAAACTTGATCCGTGAAGCGTAACGTTATACAAACAGACTAGACGCAGGCTCACCGACACAGACATAAGAGTGACTCGGTCAGACCGGATAAATGAACTCACCTTCATCTGACGAATATAAGTGTTCAGAAGTCACAGTTTTAGCACAATAATGATGATGAAAAGTCTCGGAGGGTCTGTGCTCTATGACTTCATTGCGCCTGTAAGAGGCTTCTGAAAAGCAGGAAACGGCACCGGGAGGAGGCGTGGCGTTCGTGAACACACAACGCCGGATTCTTGCATCACCTCTCCGGCGCAGCATGACGCAACCCGCCGGTAACGGAGATCAGAGCTCCCGGCTCCAGCTGTAAACAGGTTTACTGTGTTGACATCATGTATGACCTGCCATTTTGGTACTGCTGTATAAACCAAAGTGTAAGCGATCATCTTGACATATCAGAGGGCCTGATTCTTTTAAAACAACGTCTTGACGCTTTCATAGTTGATGAAATGAAAGTATGTTAGATCATTTTGGAAATATTATATTTATTCCTAAATCCATTTCAGACAATTTTTTAATTTTAGGCAGAAGTTCATTAAAGCGATTATTACAAGTGTGATCATAATGATTACAATATAGAGACATTTTGGCATCTGTGCATGTCAATTCAAGTTGGCGTCATCTGGGGTCCTCGCTGGGGTCAGCATCATCTCTTCAAAGGCGTTGTTGGATCATCTGAAGTCTTTCAATGAGGCTGGATCCACGCTGGAGCAGGCGTAATTTATACCTCGAGATGGGCATCCTCGTGGGGGTAGGAACAGAAAGGCAGATAGAAAAGAATTAGCATAGCTGCTGTTCATAACGTTTCAAGCAAAAAATATGTTTGTGACTTTTATCTGATCTATGGGAACAAGGGTGAGATTGAGATTCATTATGCGAATGCTTGGCTGAAGAGATAATCTAGATTTAAACAGAGAGAGTGTGTTTGAGCCCCCGACATTATCAGGAAGACTATATTCCAGAGTTTAGGAGCCAGATGGGAAAATTATCTCCCTCCTTTAGTGGAATTAGATATCTTAGGTACTACTAAAAGTCCAGAGTTTCGTGACCTTAAAGAGCGTGATGGATTATACTCCGTAGCTTAGCAATGTTTCTGAGGTGGAAGAAGGCTGTTTTTGTAACATATGAAATATGATTTTCGAAAGATAAGTTGCTGTCTAATATAACACTCAAGTCTTTAACTGCAGATGATGACATAACAATACATCCTTCTAGTTGCCAATTGTATTCCAAGAGATTCTGTGTGCAGGTTTTTGGTCCAATGAGTAATACCTTACTCTTGTCTGAATTTAATAGAAGAAAATTACTGGTCATCCATTGTTTTTATATCTTTAACACATTCTGTCAACTTGGATAGTTTAGAAATGTACAGTATCTGGTCTTGTTGAAATATATAACTGAGTATCATCGGCATAGCAGTGGAAACTAATTCCATGTTTTCTTATAATGTTGCCAAGTGGCAGCATGTATATTGAAAATAACAGAAGGCCTAACACGGATCCTTGCAGCACCCCATAATTTACTGATGTTAACTTGGATTTTTCACCATTTAAGTAGACAAAATGGTAACGGTCTGCTAAGTACGATCTAAAGCACCGTAATGCCTGTCCCTGAATACCAGTGTAATTTTGTAGTCTGCCTAAGAGTATGTCATGGTCTATAGTGTCGACACTAAGATCGAGTAAAACTAGTATTGAGACACATCCTTGGTCAAAAGCTAGAAGTAAGTAATTTGTAATTTTAACGAGCACAGTTTCTGTGCTATAATGAGGCCTGAATCCTGACTGAAAATTTTCATAGATGTCATTTTTTTGCAGGAAGGAGTACAACTGAGTGGACACAACTTCTTCTAATATTTTAGACATAAACGGAAGATTTGAAATGGGTCTGTAATTTGCCAATTTATTTCGAACTACTAAACTGTGATGGAATGTTCAGTTCAGGTGATTTCTGTTTATTTGTTAGTCTAGCGACTGGATTGTTTTGGTTATTTTCTATGAGTTTGTGGAAATACTCGGCCCTGGCTGCTTTTAGTGTCTTTTTGTAGTGGGATATGCTTTCTTTCCATGCAATTTTAAAGACCTCTATATGGGGTGGTTTCCATTTGCGCTCTAGTTTACGAGTATCTCTCCTTAGAGCCTGAGTATTACTGTTGTACCATGGTGCAGTATTTTTCTCTCTAACCCTTTTTAATCTGACGGGTGCGACAGTATCTAATGTATTAGAGAAGATTGTGCCCATGCTGCTAGTTATTTCATCTAGTTCATTTGTGTTTATGGGAATACTGAGCGGCTGAGACAGATCAGGCAGGTTATTTGTGAATCTATCTTTAAAGTGGTCAAACTGGAACATGGTTGCTGGTCAGTGAATTAATGCCTGGCTCAAACCAGCTAGGAACCATAATAGACCAATTTGCTTAGCCTCAGAAACCATGAACAAAACTAAGTAAGTTTGAAAAACACAGCCTCAACTATATTAAATAAGGGTTATGGGTTTACCATTGAACATAAAAATTACAACTGTGTTGTATCCAACATAAAAATTGGGTCTTAAAGAAAAAAGATAAGTGGGAATGGGATCTAGTAAACATGTTGTTGGTTTAGATGTAATGATTAGTTTATTTAGTTCTTCTTGTCCTATAGTTGTAAAGCACTGTAATTGTTCTTTAGGGGCAGTAACAGAGGCTGGATCATAAAACGAAGTCAAAGGTTGTACATTTAGAATTGTATTTCTAATAGTTTCGATTTTCTCGGTGAAGAAATTCATAAAGTCATTTTTCCATTTGCGCTCTAGTTTACGAGTATCTCTCCTTAGAGCCTGGGTCAAACTGGAACATGGTTGCTGGTCAGTGAATTAATGCCTGGCTCAAACCAGCTAGGAACCATAATAGACCAATTTGCTTAGCCTCAGAAACCATGAACAAAACTAAGTAAGTTTGAAAAACACAGCCTCAACTATATTAAATAAGGGTTATGGGTTTACCATTGAACATAAAAATTACAACTGTGTTGTATCCAACATAAAAATTGGGTCTTAAAGAAAAAAGATATTGAAGTGTAATAGAGAAGACTCTATAGTTGATGAGAGAAAGCCTCATTCACTTCATCTACAACCTTTCATTACTGCTGAATGCTGATGTTATATAACTACAGCTGCTATACAGGTACACATACCCTTATGCTTACACTACATCCCTCTGTACCTGGGGCTCCTTTAATAATTATACTAAACATTTATTCTTGTGTAACCTTGCATTGAAGTGAAATCAAGCCTAAAGCACAGCTGTTCAACACAAAAACAAGGACACAACAAACAAAGACACAGACACAAAATGGGATTTTATTGAATCAACACAAGCGGTATGTTTAGCACTTGCAGAGTCAGTGAAAGTTTGTCTGTGAGTTACGTGTGTGTGTGTGTGTTGTGTCTGCTTTTGTGTGTGCTTCATGGAGTGTTTTATTTGAGAAAATGATCAAACATTCACACATTTATTTCAAGTCCAGTCTTATATTAAATTACCATTATATATATATTCCATATAAAATAATATTTTCGGGGCAAAATCTGGAAGAATGTGTTTGAGAAAGGTAGAATGAAGAAAAGCGAAGACAGAATGAAAACTTCACTGGATTTAATGTACACACCACCTCCCCACATGGAAGACATTATTGTCCAGGTTGCATGTGAAGATCATCTCAGACCATATGGGTAGATTTTTACTCAACGCACACAGTGTTTTGTTAGGGGGGATGGCTGTTTGAAAATCAACACCTTCGGTTTTTATGGTGACCATAATTCGGAGCAAGCATGGTCAGGTAAACCATGGTCACCATCGCAATCAGTGCTCCATCCCAGTGTCCCATAGACAATAGTAATGAAGGCAGAGTAGCAGAAAGAAATGGAGTGGAGGAGAGGAACTTGAGCATTAGGGTCAGAGGTCACAGGAGGTGTTTTTTACAAGAAAAGAAAGGGATGGCAGTGTGAGAATTAGATGTTGGTGCCTTCTCAAACAATCTTGTTCTCCAGGGCAGCGATCCTTTTCGTCACAGCTTCCAGTGATGCTGTTGTCAAGGAAATAATGCAATAGTAGCATCCTAACCAGCTCTAAACATTTCTGATGCCTCATACATTCTGATGCTTTATACATTTTTGTCTATACCTACACATTTTTCTTTTAGACATGCATCAATACTAAAATTCTGGTCATTTTGATAAACTGATAATGATTTTCATTTTTATGGATGATAACCAGTAAATGACCAATATTTTATATACTATATTTTTGATTACTTATACAAATAGGTGAAAACGAACATGCATTATTAGATTTACAATATTGGCAGATATATATCCATTAAACCCAATAAAAATCAGCTTTTAACCAATATGGTTCAAATGTGTTTTATCTCAAAACCTTCTTAAAAAGGCACATCTCACCTCTCAGCATTCTGTAAGTCAATATTGATATTGAGCACAATAGGAATTTGTGTAGAGTAAATGTTTAACCCGAACACAGGAAAGGATATATTTCTTTGTTAATGCCTGTAGTGCCTCCTCCACTTTTTTCTGGAACTTGACAATGGAATTACATTCACAGGGATCTTCCTCTGCAAGTAACAGGACAGCAAAAACAAACTCAGTTGATGAAATGCTAGTTTGAAGGTCATATTCATTGTGTGTGTGTGTGTGTGTGCGTGTGATTTCATTTACCTTGACAAACATTGATTTGCAGCTTCTTGGCAATTTGGTTCATGGTTTTGAAGTCAGCTGTGTAGAAGTAATGGTCAGCGACAGGTTCAGAGGCAATTTCTCTCAGCTCATCCTCAACAGCATTGCCAACACCCACAGCATACATCTTAAAGCCTAAAGCACAGACACAGCACACTGTAAAACACTCAGAACTCATACACATTGCTCTGTGCATTGCATTTCTGTGTGTGTGTGTGTGTGTGTATGTGTGTGTGTGTGTGTGTTTCCTAACCGTTATCCTTGGCCTTCCTGGCAGCATCTCCGATGTAGTCTTGTGACCTGCCATCAGTGAAGACAATACCGACCTTTGCCACTCCAGGTCTGGCGCCCTGGTTAGGAGTGAAGCTATTGTCCACTAGGAAACTGATGGCCTGGCCAGTCATGGTTCCCCTCTCCATATAGTCCATCCTTTTCACTGCTTCTTTCAGGGCCTTTTTGTTGTTGTAGCGTCCCAGGGGGAACTCCTGCTTCACAGTGCTGGAATACTGCACCAGTCCCACATGGGTGTTTGTCTCTGACACTTCCAGTTTGTCGATGATCAGGTTGATCCATTTCTTGACCAGCTCGAAGTTCTCTGGTCTCACACTCTTGGAGCCGTCGATCAGGAAGACCATATCTATGGCTGCGTTACTGCAAGCTGGTATAAGAGAGACAGAGGATGTTTATGGTAACTCATGAGTTTCCAAACTGGGGTCCAGGAACCCCCAGGGGACCGCGAGAGGGTGCTGGGGGTCAACCAAAAATTTGAGAGAGAAAAACAATGATTTTACAAAATACATTTTTAGGGTTGTCAACATGTAAGCTTAAGATAATAATTATATATATATATATAAGAAAGTAATTATTTATAAATTTAAAATCCCCCCAAATCCCATTAATTATTCTATTCATGGCCCTAGTTTTCAAAAATAAAATATGTCTCTTGGCCGTTAAGAAGATGATTAATCTTTAAAGCAGGGGTTTTATATACAGTACATCAAAAACGGCACATGGCTATGAAGTCTTTTACTTATGTCTTTGACACTTACCTAACATTCATACATACTCACCGCTGCATGATCGGCCATCGCCCTGAAGTGTATATCCCTCTCTGCAGGCACACTTGAAAGATCCGGGTGTGCTGATGCAAATGTGCTCACAGTCATGATCGCCTGTCGCGCATAGGTCCGACACAACCGCTACCATGAATGTAACACACACACACCGGG